AGGGGCTACTCTCCGTTGCAGTGCACAGGCTTCTCATTGCGGTGGCTTCTCTTGTTGCGGAGCATGGGCTCTAGGCACGCGGGCTTCAGTAGTTGTGGTGCACACGCTCAGTAGTTGTGGCACACGGGCCTAGTTGCTCCGCAGCATGTGGGATCTTCCCGGACCAGGGCTCGAACCCCTGTCCCCCACATTGGCAGGCTAATTCTTAACCACTGCACCACCGGGGAAATCCCTTACTAAAATAATTTTATTTGAATTCTTCACGTGTATCATTATCATTATGTCTGTATCAACTCTGGATCCTCATTTTGAGATGTCTAACAGCTTTCCAGAGCTCATCGAGTTCTCCTCCGTCTAAACTGTTTGAATTTGTGCAAATGCGATCGGTAGCAGTTATTACCCACACCTGAAGCCTCATCAGCATGACATTAGGGCACTTTTCTCATCATCCTGTAGGAATATATTCCTAATTTCCACAAACCCAAACACACAGAATTTTCCTTCCTTAAGGACTAAAATTTTGGTTTACACTGGCATACAATGCTTAAAGTTGTGAGGTCAAACCCCCAGGAACAACTACAAGCTGTGTTAAATAGTTTTACTTCTTTTTAAAACCTATGATGGCAGATGAGCTCTTTAAGTATGCAAAACTAACATTCAATGAGGTCTTTAGGGCTTCTGTGTTTTCCACAAATCTTAACGCTATTTTACAGTGCATCCCTTATGAGAGGCTTCCGAAGAACTTTTTATGAAATGCCACTCAGTCTTCCGATGGATAATATTTTAGAGAAAAGAAAGCCTTTCTTATGTTTAAACATCAATCAGGCAGTATGCTAAGCATCTTATATGTAATGTGTTCCATATGAAATTTTCAAAATAACCCTGTGAAGTGGAAAATATTATTGTTGCCATTTTCCAGATGAGAAAACTGAGGCAGTTAAGTAACTTGCCCAAGATCACAAGGCTAAAAAGTGATGGAATGAGTATTTGAAACTCCAAAATCTATGCTCTCAGCCATTACTTTCTATGATGCTCCCAGTCAAGACTATTGGCATAACATCTGTTTTTGAAGAAAGGCTAAGAACTATGAAAGAGAAGGATCCAGACAAAAGCATGAGTCTTTTCACTAAAAAAGATGAAGAATTCAAACAGGAGAGGAAAATATGGCCAAAGTTGTGTTTTTTAAAAACGAATATAATTAAATCTTCACAGACCAAAGGAAGAACAATTTTTCAGAAAAAAAGAGGCATAGCTATTTCAAGATATTTTTCTACAGAGGACATTACAGAACCACAAGGGATTTAAGTTGAGTAAAATTTTTCTAAAAATGCAACTTTTAGGACCTGGGAAGTTTACTTAAGAAAACATTAGAATTTATCCTTTCTGGTTTATTTTTACAAAGTAAAGGGTAGGGCTGGGGAAGCTATGTTTTTTCCTATGACCAAAATTTCTCCATAACAACTGTCTTTGACATCAGTGGGTAGAAAACCTCATACTGGACAATCAGCTGTGTAGGAAGGAAAGGACTACTAAATTAAGTAGTCGAGTCAGGAAAATATGATTCAGCTTGTGATTTATTCAATGGTGTTTCTGTGGAATGCACTGGATTATTCAATAAATATACCTTGAGTATTCATTATTTGACTAGCACTTTGTTAAGCATTTTAAGTTTCTAAAAAAGGGTCTGTCCTCAAATCTACTTAAAATTTAAGAGTAATTATTATTGGATGGTAGGATTATGTTGATTTTTATATTCCCTTTTGGACTATATTTTCTAGCTGTATCAACCTGGGGAAATTAATCTCGCTAAGCCTCCATTCCTTCATACATAAGGCAGGAATAATAGTATATCTATCTCATAAAGTTCATGTGAGAAATAGATGAAATAATGATACATAGTAAATGTTTTTCAATAAATATTAGCTATTGGGCTTCCCTCGTGGCACAGCGGTTGGGAGTCCGACTGCCGATGCAGGGGACGTGGGTTCGTGCCCCGGTCTGGGAAGATCCCACATGGCGCTGAGCGGCTGGGCCCGTGAGCCATGGCCACTGATCCTGCACGTCCGGGGCCTGTGCTCCGCAACGGGAGAGGCCACAACAGTGAGAGGCCCGCGTACCACAGAAATAAATAAATCAATGAATAAATATTAGCTATTATTTCATTTTTATTGGGATTTTATAAGGTTTAATTTTATTTATTTTTGGCTGCGTTGGGTCTTCGTTGCTGCACACGGGCTTTCTCTAGTTGTGGCGAGAGGGGGCTAATCTTCATGGCAGTGCACAGGCTTCTCATTGCGGTGGCTTCTCTTGTTGCAGAGCACGGGCTCTAGATGCACAAGCTTCAGTAGTTGTGGCATGCAGGCTCAGTAGCTGTGGCACGCAGGCTCTAGAGCACAGGCTCAGTAGTTGTGGCACACAGGCTTAGTTGCTCTGTGGCATGTGGGATCTTCCTGGACCAGGGCTCGAACCCACGTCCCCTGCACTGGCAGTGTGATTCCTAACCACTGTACCACCAGGGAAGTCCCTTTATTGCTTTTTTTTTTTGCGTTACGCGGGCCTCTCACTGCCGTGGCCTCTCCCATTGCGGAGACAGGCTCCAGACGCACAGCCTCATCGGCCGTGGCTCATGGGCCCAGCCGCTCCGCGGCATGTGGGATCTTCCCAAACCGGGGCACGAACCCGTGTCCCCTGCATCGGCAGGCAGACTCTCAACCACTGCGCCACCCGGGAAGCCCCTTTTATTTTAAATGCTTGCTATTTTTAACAGGACTGCTACAATCCAATTGTGGTTGTGGAACAATATGATACTTATCTGATATTAAACAGCTTTCATTTAGCTAATTTATTGCTACCACAAAAAAATATGTAATTAAGTACCTAGTGAATGTCAAAGAGAGTCCAGAACTCAAAGGAGAGATCACTTTTGCCTAGAGTGATCAGAAAAGACTTGACAGACATGAAAACTTCAAGTTCCCACGAATGAAGATGAAGCAGGAGAGAACACAGGCAGCCCATGTCAGAGGCCATGTAAAAATTAAGCTCAAATCATGGACCTTGGAATAGAAGCAACCAGGGGGTAGAAAGGAAAGAACAAAGAGCACTGAGGGCATTCCTTCATCAATTCCCAGGTTACAAAAGCCTTTCCCTTTTAAGTTTTTTCCATCCTGACATTCGCATTTCCACTCCTCAGGTGAAAAGCTATTCTTCCTTTTCCTATGGCCCAAGCTCTGGCAATTTTCTCTGTGTTCCTTTTCCAGCTGCAAGTCTTTTAAGAATCAATAAGCTCACTACCCTTGCCAAGTGTAGGAGTAACAGGTAATCATGGCTAGCCAGAAAGAAATATGAAGATTCTTCTCTGTACCAGGTGCTATAATACAAAAACCATTGGCTAATAAATCAGCCTTAAGTTCCGGTCCTGGTTTTGCTTATATAACCGACATTTCAGGGCCTCGGTCTTTCCATCTGTAAAATGGGTCGGTAACACCACAGTTGTTAAGAATATTAATTTAATAAAGTTGATAAGGTGCTTAATATAGCTGATATAAAGTTAGAACTCAAATAAGAGACGGGGTGGTTATGAAAATGAAGGCACAGAAGAAAAGGAGGAGAAGAATAAGTGAATACAAAGACAGAACTTCATTGCAGACTTTTTTTTTTTGGCAACCCTTGTTTTGAAGAGAGTCAAAAACAAATGAATCATTGGGACACCAAAGGAGAAAAAATGTGTTTCAAAGTTGATTTATCCTGTATTCTAGTCTGTCTAACTATTTCAGCAATAGAGCTCCACATTTTGTTTCGCAACTTGAAATTTTAAAAATGTCCTCTAATGACTTATTCAGAATCTGTTAACAACCATACTAATTTAATTGCCATTATATTTTAGTGAGAGAACCCTATTCTCCTTACACTACATGATATAGCCCTTCAATTTTTTTCTGTACACAAATGTTTACAGCCACTTCATCTGTGGTAGCCAAAAACTGGCAACAACCCAAATGTCCATCAACAGATGTTACATCCATACAATGGAACATTACTCTGAAATAAAAAGGAACAAAATAGTAATGCCCACAATAACAGGGGCAAACCTCTAAAACGTAGTACTAAGAAAAGTGAAACACAAAACACTACATACTGTAGGGATCCTTTTATATGAAATTCTAAATAAGATAAAACTACAATGATAAAAATCATATCAGGCTTCCCTGGTGGCACAGTGGTTGAGAGTCCGCCTGCCGATGCAGGGGACACTGTTTCGTGCCCCGGTCCGGGATGATCCCACGTGCCGCAGAGCGGCTGGGCCCGTGAGCCATGGCCGCTGAGCCTGCGCGTCCGGAGCCTGTGCTCCGTCACGGGAGAGGCCACAGCAGTGAGAGGCCCGCGTACCGCAAAAAAAAAAAAAAAAAAAATCGTATCAGTGGTTGCCTGGGGCTGGGGATCAGGGCCTACTGCAGAGTCATGAGAAAATTTAGGGTGATGGAAATGTTGCTTGCTTATGGTGGTTGCTTGCACCACGGTATACAGTTACCCTAATTCAAACTCTACACTAAAAGGGGTGAATCGTATTATAAGTTATACCTCAATAGGTTGGGGAGGAAAAATCTCTAAAGCAACTGCTGCTTCCTAACAAATAACAGGAACCTTCTCACACACAGTTCTAAATGAACAATGATGCAACTCCACCAAAGCAAAATCAGGTCCTAGTATTTTTTTCACTCTCATTCAAAAAGGTTACACTGTATTCCCAAACTATTTGCATACTACAAATGTGAGAAGAGCACCTTATTCACCTCTGTATCTGACTTCAAAAGCTTTGATAGCTTCTAGCATTTGTATAACCTCAGCTGCTTTCCATACATCACTGGTTTCTTCCCCTAGTATCATTAATTTTGTTGTTTACGTGACCTGCATTAAACGACAAAAGGTCCGTTTTACTAACACCTTCTATCTCCACCCAAAGTTCTGAGTAAACTCCTGAAAGAATTTGTAAGAGAACTTACTGCAAGCAGCCGAAACAGCCTGTTGGGCCTCAAAATGGTTTCCCTCGACAATCAGCGTGATGTAGCGAACCGGTCCTGGTCGCGCTGCGCCTTCAGTCAGTCCAGGATCATTTCAGGGTGTTCAGGGAACTCCTGAAAGTAGTCCATCTTCTCTTCGGCCTTCACGGCCATCAGCTTGCTGTCCAGATATTGCGTCACTGTGAGGGGCTCCGGGACCTTGCCGAGCGCAGACCCTGGAGGGGAAGAGCCAGCAATCCCACTCACGCCACTTGGGGCGGAGCCAGCTGAATGGCTTTGGGGCTGGGCGAGGGCGAGGCCCGTGCTGGGAGGAGGAAGTTGGCTGCGTGGGGCTGGGCCTATTCGGGCTTGGCTGAGCGGGGGGCGGGGATCCTAAATCACTGCCCTTCCTCCTTCCACCTGACCTATCTGCTTCCAGGTGTGAGTGCTTCTCACCCGGGCCTCAGCATCAGCCCTTAAACTTTTTTCTTTTTTTTTTTGGTACGCGGGCCTCTCACTGTTGCGGCCTCTCCCGTTGCGGAGCACAGGCTCTGGACGCGCAGGTGGACTCTCTACCACTGCGCCACCAGGGAAAGCCCTCTTACACTTTTTATGATGGGTCTAAGCTTTGCCTCAAAAACTCTTCCTCATATTTACACTGTATCAGCCAACATAGCCAATAAAACTGTCTTCGTTCATTCAATGTTTTGCATTTATTCCATCATATTTGTTCACATAACCAACATTTACTGAGCAAGTTCTGGGTCAGAAACTGTGCTAGTTGCTAGAGTTATAACACTGACCAAAGGAGATGCAGGCCCTGCCCGTCCCTGGCTTTACGGTCTGGTGGAATCACACACTGCACACTGCCTCTGGTGAGGGCAGCAAAGGGACTGTCCCTGAACACCTACTGCTCACCAGACTGTACAAGGCACTTAGCCTGCCACCTCATTTTAGCCCACAACAACTGCATCAAGTTGGACTCTGATTATTCCCCACATTTACAAACAAGGACCACGAAGCCCAGAGGTTAAATCATTTGTCTCATATACTGGTAGGGTCATCCCTAGGCAAAAATATAAATGTGACTGTGATATAGCTGATCCATGGTACTGTCTTGCCCTCACCTTGCCACAAAGAGCCTTTTTCTAGTCTCCTTAAATGCCTCTATATGAGGGATCATCCACTCAGCCAAATTGGTGCTCATTAAAATTTTAAGCCAATGAATAATGTTTCCCTAAAGTCCAGCGGTTCTCAAATTACAGCAATATTACAATTGTTTGAATGGCTGATTAGAAGTCAGCTTGCTGGGCCCCAACCTAGCGTTTGATTTAGTAGGTCTAGGGTAGGGCCCAAGAATTGACGCGGCTGCCAGGGATGCTGAAACTGCTAGCTTAGGAACAACGTTTTTAGAAGGCCTACTCTAAAACAATGACTGTGGCTTCTAGCCCACCTAACATAAAGAGTTCAAAGTTAACAACAACAAAATCTACAAAACTCTTCCTGTTACCTGCCTGACACATGGGAACAGGAACAAGCAGAGCGCATGAGAGAAGTTTGCACCCTTAAAACGTTTACAGGTGAAGCAAATGAGGTTCAAAAAAGTTGTGTGGACCTTAATATAAACTATGGGCTGGGGATGCCAATGATGAGTAAATGTAGCTTCTCAGCTGGAACGAATGTACCACTCTTGAGGGGGATGTTTGTAATGGAGGAGGCTGTGCATGTGTTGAGGCAGGAAGTGTAAAGACATCTCTGCACCTTCCACTCAATTCGGCCATGGACCTAAAACTGCTCTAACAAAGGATAATCTTAATTTTAAAAAAATGTTAGGTAGCCCTTGGTTTTCTATAAGTGATAAGGCTGAGGCTTGGAATCAAAGGCTATATGATATATAAACCAAAGAATTTTCTTACTCTGATGCTAGAGTTTTACACATGGAGAGCAATAAGTACCTTACAGGTATCAGATATCACTCCTCTTAGTGCCCAGGATGGCAGAGTAGGGGGACTTGGGGTAGCCTGGACCCTGTAAACAGCCTCCTCCAGACCAAGTTCAACTGAATCTCTTGAATTTCTCTTAGGTCCTGGCCCACACCTATAGTTGCAGTATGTAGGTTTGAGTAGGGCCCAGAAATCTGCATTTCTCCAATCACACATAATTTTGAGAAAAATTAAATGGTTGTTCATGCCTCAGGGAAATATTAACCATATCCAAAGCAATCCTTTCCGCTGTTACTTCTTACAATGTTCTGATTAGGTGTTAAGTACTGGGGTCAACAACAAAGCCCAGCAGGTAGCGACTCACCCTCCCTCCCTCAATTTTCCACATGGTCAGTGAGCTCTGCAAATCGGACTCGTATTGGGTCAGTAGATCTTTAAACTCCTGGATGATCTGAACAGGAAAGATGGCCCAGCAGCAAGCCAAGACTGAATTCATTTCCCTTAAAATCTGCATTCCATACCTGGTCATCTCCAATTCTCAATTAATGTAACTGAGTTTCATCCAGAGCATCAGTTCCCACAAAACGATCTATTATTCAAGGAACCAGAATCTGATCAAGCCTTAAGTATGTGTGTGAATGTGAACAAAAAGAGGAAAGGGGGAGATTAATTAGCATGCATTAGAGGTTAAGAAACTGTTTTCCTACCCAACTCATGTACTCATTGATCAAATCCCTACCCTATACGCGTGCTCTATGCAAGACCCTGAAATCTCAAAGGAGCACTAAATCATGCTGTCTTCCCTTATGCAGCCTGCAGTCTAGTAAGAGTCCGCTAATCAGAAGTAGAGGGGAACAACCCTTGCCTCGTTTACACAAAGAGGGGACCCAAAACAAGTAAAACCAAGTTGGAAAAAAGTGACCAAGTAGTAAAATAGATGGATTTAGCATCTTCACTTCAGAAAGGAGGCACTGCATACTTTATCCAGCAACATAATGAATCAATTCTCCACGTTTTCCTTTCTACATAGGATTCAGGAGAGCCCTGATCAAATTGTACCCTGCAGTTGCCCCCAAATCTCTCCCCGACAAAACAACTGTCCTTCCAGTACTCACCCCCTCCTTTTGGTTATGCTATTTTCCCTGATCCTTTTATAAAGACAGTTACCCCTCAGAAGATTTATGCCTTAAGCCAGGAATCCTCAGACTTTGGTGAGCATAAGTATTTCTTGAAGCTCTTTTAAAAATGCAGATTGCTGGACATTTCCCTCAAGATTTCAAGTCAGTTGTCTAGAATAAGATTCAGAAAACTCCATTTTTAACAAGCACCTTAAGTGTTCGATCCAGACACTGAGCTCTAAATGTGGTGTTGCACTTACTGCTCAAAATAGCCCTATTTACAGAGGGGGACATAAAGTAAAAGAAAAATAATTCACCTAAACTTACACAGCAAGGAAATGGCAGACTCAGGATCCTAACAGAGCTTCCAGACTCCCAAACCCAAGGACAACCCCAAGTAGGCAAGCCTGATGCCAGAGGTAATTAAACTGAAAACTAACAAAGTTTAAGGGGAAATGGAAGGTTCCGTGAGAGGAAAGGTGAGCAATGAAATCAGAAGGGGCTCAGAAACAGACTTCGCCAGCCACTCAACTTTGGCTAGGGCCAGTTCCACTCATGCTAAGGCCAGCAGAAGTGTACCGGTATAAACAAGGCAAAGCAGTTTCTATAAATGTGTCAGAAAAAAACTTGAGGTTTTACATGCAATTAATTGCAAAGACATTTCTTAATGGCAGCCTCCTCTTGACTTTCCAAATTAACGAGTCAGAAAAGCACTCCTCTCAACAGCATCTTTAGAAATGGGCAAGCCCCCCTCCTGGGCTCCCATTAAAACACAGGACCTTCGGCTAAATGCTGCAATGTCCTCCAATCTAGAAAGTCATCTCAAAACTGTAAAAGCCTGTGCACAGATCCCTTCCTTGAATTCCTTTGGTCCCAGAAAAAAAAGAGAAGCAGGAAAGAAATGAAGATGTGTCATCTTGGTTAACATGTCATTTGGGTAATATTTTGGATAACACTAGAAGTAGTTAACTGATTTAAAAGATGATTCTTCCTGTGAAGGAAAATGTCTTTTTTGTTGATGAATAAAAATTATGCAAGTAAAGAGGGTGGGGCTGGGAAAAAAAAAACCCTCAACTATTGTATACCAGGAAGCACACTCAACAACAGCATTTTCAAGTTCTTTCTGTTTTTATGTGTGTGTGTGTGTGTGTGTGTGTGTGTGTTTGTAACATACATTGGGAGGAATTCTTATATAACATCCAATCTATGAATAGATGAAGTCTGATGGGCTACAGCCTATCACCAAATTAAACTCCAAGTTAAAGGCCTGGGTGGCTACCTGGAAATTTGCGTTCTGTAGAGCCTTGCCTTTTAAATGAACCAACAAGGGCCCACCTGTGTTTGTTGCATGTCCCTTGGATAATTAATGCTGGTAATAACACCGAAATGTTAGCACACAAAGCACCTGGAATGCAGCTCGCCATACACATTCTAATCACATCTGCCACCTAACTCTCCAAATGACCTTCTGCAAAACAATGACTGTCTCTGAAACCACCGAAGCCAACCTAGGATGAAGCCGTTTTTTCCCAGGATTTGGCTGCAGCGGAGCAGTTCCTAAAGCTAGAGTGGCACCAAGTGGTCAGGACAGGAATCAGTTTGTATTCACAGCCTCTGGCCAGGCTGCATGCCTGTCAACACAATGTTGCTCCCAGGGCTGCAGGAGGTCTCAGCCCGTCTCCTCAGAATGGTGACCAGGACCAGAGAGGGAAACAGAGGCCCACATACCCCTGATACCTTAGAGGTGATTCTGAAACTCACATAAATCCTAAACTCTCCTAATTTTAAGGAGACTTACATTTTAAAGATCACCAAAACAGGGGCGGGGTTAGGGGTGGATAGCAATGAGGACTGCCTATTCTATATCGCTGTTTATAAGTCACATAGTATTTTCTATTTTTACTAAAGTCTGTCTGTGTCACTGTGCCCCACAAAGATAATGAGAAATATTGTCTCCATATTACAGATAAAAAAGAAGGGGTGAAGTGATAAGAACAATAGGGAGAGTATTAGAGAACAGGTAAGTGTTCTATGAGTTTTATAGTCCCTTGTTTAACTGCTGAACCAATTCTCCTCCTGTCCGTTAGCTTTCCATGGCCCCAACCAATCTTTTTGTCTCACACACACGGTTTCCCCCAGGACCAATATCACTAC